TCGCTACAATAACCCGTAGCAGTGCTTAACTACAACAACCATTAATAGGATTTTTTTAGAAGTCGGAAAATATAGCAGATTTTCTGACGAGAGTTTGCTATCAGAAGATGGTTTCCAATGAAACAAATGTCAGACTGGAAAATTGATTCGATATGAAATTTCCGAAAAAATCGGAAGCGATGTGTCAATGGATTACACGGTTAGTTCGAAATGAAAATCACATTACAGAGCTATGGTCCAAACTTCCATAATCACATAAAATATACGGTGGAAATGAACAAAAATATCACTATCTGACATAGGAAAGGTACAACAGTGGGCAACTGAGCTCATTTTGACCCGTGACCGTCGTCGGGAGCAAGCAGATGAACAAATATTGCGGCGAGCTAGACAACATCAGGATGGAAACAATCAGACTGGTCCGGTACTGGCAGCTGACATTAGCCAACAAAATCAGGTGTGGTGTCACAGCTAGGACAACCTCCAGCTTGTCCCAATGGGAATCTAGCTTAGCAGTTATGCTGACCTAATCGAAGACTACCAAACAACTGTGAAAAACAACTAAAACAAAACAACAAAAATGAAGAAAAACAAGTTTCTCATGAAAAGCTTCCGAGAGAACCTCATAAAGAGAGACGACGTCAGTAAGCGGAAGTGAAGAAAATCTGAATGAAAAACGAGAAGCGTCAGTGCGTCAGTGATGACGATGGCGACGATGACGACGAGCATCATGAAAAAGATCGATGGAATTAGAATAAATATTCCATTGACCATCACGTCATCCACATAATAAGAAAGAAACGACTGAAGAAAAAACATCACCAAACACAATACGAGCCGTTGATGAACGGGTTCCGCCTCGTTGTCATTCATGTTGTTTAGCTTGCTTGTAGTTTTTTAAAAAGCAGGTTTTGTCACGAAAGAAGAAACGGGAAAATTTCCGTATTTCATTTATAGAGCTGTCTTCTCACTGCTACTGATAAGAATCCAGTTGTCACAAAAAAAAACGTATCTCACGGTTACTGGGAAACTACAGAAGCAGAATAGATGACATTACGGTTTGGTCCAAAAAAAGTTGAGCAAGACACCGATTGGAAGTTCGAATCAGTTCCAAGAAATGTGCCACACATTTACACTCGGAAGACTACTTGTGGGTAGATATATTCCCGCCAAAAGGAAGAAAAATAAGGAGCTACGTATCGAAAGTGTGACAAAAGTGTAATGTTCCTCTTGCACTTTAAGGGTAAAGAGAGCAGCTCTGGAAGAAGACGAATAAGACCTGTTAGGGTGGCTCGACGGATGACAGATGGATAGGAAATTGGCCCGTGCAGTTAAATTTGCTGTCAAATTATCACCAACGGATAGATGAAGCAGCTAGTTCACTGTGGACACAAAATTCCAACTGAAGTAGGGTTTTGCAATCTTATATTTTTATAATTTCGTTCTTGTAAAAATTTTCTTTCCTACTGATTTACCACCTCATGATGGTTAGTTCTGTTGTAGAAATGTGTTCTAATGTGAAGCAGATTATCTCCCAGATAGGTACATCAAGTTAATAAGTGGCCGATATTTTCATTCGGATGGCCAACTAAGAGTTAACGAATGCCAATTCGTCAAGCTACTCATTGCTATTTCATCACCAAAAACAGTTAAAAAATCCCATGGAGAGCCCAGCAATTCAATTCTAGAGTTGAGCCATGAGCAAATCTATTTCATGAGTTAATCCTATCCTAGCAACAAGATAGTCACTAACTGGTAAGTTGTAAAAACATGGGAAAGCTCTAGTATAAATTCTGCGAGGCCAAAGGACGAAAAGCTTCCTTAACCACAAATACCCATCAAATGGACGATTTGCTGGGTTCCGCATCATTTATTTTATTCTTGCATTACATGCTCTGTCCACAGTTCTACAAATGTGTCTAGAATTTCGAAACCGACTTTCCTTGAACCTCAGTATCAATAATCAGTATGTATTCTTTCTTTGTCTAGTTTTATTTGTCAAGAAATTACTCTCCTCATAATTTCACAGACATGGTGTTCTTTAAAATATTTTAACAACAACTCAAAAGACCAACTTTCTATCAAACTCGGCATAAATAGAGTCCCCTCGTAACAGCGCGGCTCTGAGGAAGGTGAAATCGTCGAAACGTCAACAATCGAGCAAGAACAAAAACAGCGACAACAACAACAGCAACTTATACCAATCTAGTATCAGTTAAACAAGATCAGTTCAACGGAACATATAAGTGAATACATCGATTCCAACAATAGAACCCATGATCAATAGCAGTAAACTCCAAAAAAGCCCAAATCACCTAGTTTCCTAATGTTTTCCTAAGTCTATGCTTTTTTTTCGGGCATTTCCGCTTTTGTTTAAGTCTAATGCCATGAAGAATGAGGTGGAAAAGAAAGAGAGAGAAAAGTGGTGGAAATCAAGACAAATTCGTAGCTATAGCTGAGAATGAAATAAAGAAAAAGATGGTGGACACGGATGGTGCGGTGGTGAAGCGCGCTGCTCCCCGGTAAGGACAACAGCGCGTGTTCGTTCCCCACTGCATACACCTGTGGTCCGGAGTTTTGCAAATATCTCAGCATTTCATAAGAAAAAAGAATTTGCGATCGATCAGTGAAGTAGATATTGGTTTCAAATGTGGAATATATGAATATATTAAGAGCAAATCATTCACTTTGGCAACATTGGCGCATGCAACATCCATATCGACTACCAGATGAAGAGAGATGAGGACTGTTATGAGCCATTTAAGAAATTACGCTAGTATTTTTATTCGCACTAATATTTCAGGACCGTCTTTAGCACAGGAGATAACAATGTGAGTCATTTATGGCTCACTAAAAGTATATCTTTTGGGTATGCCACCTCATTTAAACTATTAAATGTCACTAGTTCGAGGTGTCATGTGGGAACGTGAGTTGTTTCACCGTCTCAGCTGTGTCATCCAAGGAGAAAAGCATCCCACAGAGCATGGAAGTTTCTTAAAATGGTATAAATGTTAGTGGTGTCATCAAGGTGAGTATGACATCATAGCATTAATGAATGAGAGCGACATCGTATACTAAGCAATGGATTCTTGCTTGACGAGCCAGCTGAGCAACCATTGAAAAAGAAGCGAAAAATGTTATTTGTATAATGATGACGTGTGAGTGACAAGTGATGACATTTCTGTGACATCACATTTTATAATTGGTGAGAATGAAAAGGTAATCCAGGCAACGGAAGCACAGCAAGATCCAGCACATTGTGTGTTGTCAACGTTCCGTGCGTTGACAATGACTCGATTGAATAAAGCTAAAAAGCGTTCATCGGCCTCCATTATATACACTCTCCGGCGTCATTTCGTTCGCAGACCAGACGATTGTCGACATGAACTTGGAGTGTAACGATTTTAATTTAGCAGAGACGCCATATGCAAATCACTCGCTCTTATATCGTAGAAACCAACGTCAGGTGTGCGTTTTTGTAAAAGTGAAAGCATGCTCCAATGTTGTCGCTTCATTTCGGAACCTTTGAAGTTTTACACCGCAGTAGAATGTAAAACACAACGGATATAACGTACAGTGTTGCATTAATCGCATAGGGATGTCCATGTACTCCACTGGTACCATTGCGATGGTGATTAATTGAATATTTGGTCTAAAAATATCTACCTACCAACATATCAAGTCAGTGCTTTCTACCATCCGAAAGAAAACTGCTACCATTATCGGTCTCTATGGTTGGAGACCTTCGTTTCCGCAGATCTTGGTGCAAATTGTGTAGTGCAGAACACTTATAACCGACATGCTACATATATATTTCCAGTAAAACATATACCAATGGATCACCAACGATTTATATTCATGACAAATCGCTATGCGATGAATGGTGATAGCTTCAAATAAATAAGTTTCACATACGCTCTAAAAGAAAAAAGAAATGCTACTCGTAAATGGGCTTCTTCCTTAACGCCATATCCCGGCAAACTGCAACGTGGCCTACTCCTTCAAATAAGAACGAAGAGCATCATGCTAGTATGTGAGACTCCCTGTATCCTTCCGACGAATAGAAACCACGGAGTTGCGCTAATATACGACAGAGCAAATCAAAGGGGCCTCTAGTAAATCTGATTCCTGTAATGTTGACTGTTCCCGTCATTAACAAGATATTCGTCATTCATTTACAAAGAAGATAGGAGATGACGGCAAAACGTCGTGTTTGTGGCCGAATTGACCTGATGGCATGTGTTCAACAGCGGAGTGACATATCCACGGATTTGGCAACCTTCAGGTGGTCTCAGCCGTAGTCACCATTTTGGTAGGTGACGTCCCGCGTTTCCAAGCAATCACGTTCACTCTTTGCTGAGCAAACAACCGTTAAATAGTTCCAAATAGAGGGCCATATCACTTTTCGCTTTCTGGTACTGCACAGAATTACCAGTGGCAACTATAAAAAGGCTTTCATTTGCACGGCCATTTCATAAAGGTGTTCAAATGTTATTTTGTAGTAAAAAAAATTCTAAATTTATACGAGGAATGAACATAAAAATAGGAAATTTCTAGTTATAGTTGCATAAAAAAAGACTAAAAAATTGAAAATTAGCCATCTACAAGAGACTTGAGTGATATGTAAAAATGGCCCACTGTGGAGTCGAACTATAACCGTGCTCGCGGTGACCGAAACCACTACCACTGTGTTATCCGCTTCTGAATATTGCTACACGTTGAAAAATACTTGAAATGGGACGAGCTATTCTATTATACTTAGCAAAACTTTATGATCAACAAAGACTCAATGGAAAGACGGGGACTTTCAAGCATAAAATCTTTATTGGTTACACAGGACATGTAGAGAGAAACCCACTAAAGTCAGGAATTAGAGCAAAAGAACTGGAAAATGAACGGAAAGCAGTGGCGTCTTAATGAGAAAACTTTTCTGAGATGGTTAGAAGAAGCATTTAAGGGTGAAATAATTTAGAACCCAACGAGATGCAAGATTAGGTGTATCAGCATTCACCCATCAACGAGAATGATATGGCTTCGTCTTCATCGTCAAGATCGCCAATGTCTTCGCCGACATATTCAAATCCTTTATCACCACCGTTAATGACAAAAACAATCTACCATAACCCTATAGCAGTTGATGAACGTCGAATAGTTTCATTCTTTCTGGCACACATCGGCCTTTGTGGAGACGCTCATCTTCTTCCTTTTTTAATTCCTTCAACACCATTCCCACTTCCAAGTTTCGTTGTCATCCCTGTCGTCATCAGAATTTTCACAGTTACTTCAATTTCAATTTTGGTAGATCTGCGATATGACAATCTGGATTCTCTACTAGTAGAAATGATACCTAGCATCCATTTGCTCACAGTTTGTTCTCCATCTTCTTCATAGCCATCGTCTTTTTCGGTGGCAACACTACAGAGTTCCCACAAGCGAAAATCAACAGAATCTTCTTTTGAAACTGACGTTGTCATCGTAGTCAGAAGAATCCTTCCTCATTTACGAGTCTCAAGATCACCAGAACGCCGACTATTTCAGTAACGTCTAGAAGACCTTTCTCAGCCGAACACTTGACGGCTGGAAAATGTCGTATTACCAAATAAAACCAAGGACGAGGAGACGAAATACGATATATAGGATTCCGATTAGCACAGTGGCTACAGATGGAGTGCGATACAAGTATAGTACTTGCACTGATTCTGCACTATGTTCCTCTCATCTGGGATCTGCATTATAGTTGGCGAGTGGTTGCACATAACGAAAAAAAAACAGCCTAAAAAGCGGACAAAAGGCTCAAAACAATATCCAGCTCTTTCTTCCCCAATTTATTCTGAAAAAAAAGAGGATCTATTAAGGGCAAAAATGTGGTCTTTTTGTCAGAGTGTAGACTTAAAAACCTTATAGTGTATACAGTAGGACTTATAAAATCGTAGCAGTCTTACCATAAAGTTGATGGCATCATAACAAAAGTTCAAAATCCTGTCATCAATTATGAGAAAGGGATAGGCTCTAATGGTTCGTTTTTTACAAATCACGTGCAAATTATTGCAGTAGAAGGTTGCACGGCACTTCACAGAGATTTTACGCCAGATTTGACCGTAACGGATGAAATAGAAGGCGCGAAAGCAAGAATAAACATGGTGTGAATGAAAAGGAATACGATAGAGATAAGATCTACAATGCCCGATGTTCTTTGTGAGAAGAATGAAACGTAACAAATACACGTTCTCAAAGGTGCTGATTAACTGCAATAAAGTTATGACAGACTATTATTATCACCAATTGCACTGATAAAGGATATGGACACATCGACGGTGAAGATGGCCGCCGTGATGATGGTGGTGATGGAGTTTTATGGTGGTATTTCAGCTGACACGAACGTTGCCGTTCTCGTTCAAGGTCGAGCACAGCACTGACGTCAAACAACGACGATTACAACATTACGGCTGTTATTATTTCAGCGCAAGCACACACAAAACTAATTGCCACAATTATGGCCCATGTAGAAAATTACGATAATCCCTTTCGCTGGTGAAAGTCTTTTGGTTTGATGGTTTTGCAAGTAGGACTTTAACCTTCCTAAAAATCACTGTTCACCATTGCTGGATGCAGAATTCTTGGAGAGTTTCGGAATACTACGGTTTTAAGAAGAATTCGATGATTGACAATGTTTACTTTCCATTCACTTCCTTCTACAAGTTTTCACGGCAAGGTACTATTTGTGAAACAGCCAAAGTGATGCTGAGATATTTCCAAAACTCTGAATCACAAGTGCCTGTGGTGGGGAACGAACGCGCTATAGTTCTTTCCGGGTAGTTACGCGTTCAACACCGCACCATGCGGATCCTTCGGTTCGCTTGTCTCTCAACTAGTCCTATCAAACAATTCTATCGAAACTATAGCCACAGCTTAACTGGATTCAATGCCGATTTGGGCTCCTCAGATTAATCCCGTTGACGGCTGATTGCTGATGGCAAAAGGTCGATAGAACTAGGTGAGAGATAAGCGAAACGAAGGATCCGCATGGTGTAATGGTGAACGCGCTACTCACCGGAAAGGACAATAGCGCGTTCGTTCCCCACCACAGACACTTGTGTTTCAGAGCTTTGCAAGTATCTCAGCATCATTGTGGTTGTTTCACAAGTTCGATGTTCACTTTTCGTGAGAAGAGTGAAAAATGGCACAAAAAGAGGAAAATTACTACATGGGAACACGACGAAAACCAAAAAACAACATTAGGCATTTCTTTCAGCTTGTTGCAAGAAAAAACCGACTGAGAAAGGAAGGAAGGGGCAAAGGAACGCAGTTGCCAGAGATCGAAGCTACTCGCCAATCCCCGATTCCGAAGCACAGCATCCATAAAATTTCAATAATTATTATAGCCAAATTCTTATCTCTCACTTTTAGAGAAATTAATTTTTTTATAGCTCATCGAATTCTTAAAGTAGAAAGCATTCTAATGGCCGTGTGAAATGTTAACAGCACTGCCAGACACTGTATGGTAGAGTAAAATGTTGCCTTGTTAAAGAAAGATGAAATGAACTTCTGAAATAAATAGGAAAGATTTTACGACTCACAAAATAGAGGGTAATGGGGTTCTCGTATTTGTCCCAACTCCACTCAGATTCTGAAACGGTAAGAACGAATGCTTTCAGAAAAACTTTTGTAGGTTAGGGAATAAAGAGTTTAGATCATAAGGACTTTGTCGTTAGCGATTCAATGGCGACGACGATAAAACAAAGCGGATCAAACTTGTATTATTATAAAAATAATATCTACAAGTCGCATCATCGAAAAACATCCAATTAGCAGTCCAAGAGATCGCAATGACATATTTAACTTGAATCTTTGAAACCACTTTTCTACTTGCACCTTATTAACTAATAAGATCAAACTTAACTTATTCACTAAGTTTAATGGGAAAAAGAAAGGAGTGATCTGATGAAATCGTGTCTGTTAAGGTATTAGAAGGATTGCTCTTAAGGTAACGTAACTCAAAAACGGGCAATGTCCGTCAGTGTTGTGATTGTCGAATTTTAATAATACTATTAAAATTTCTGCTTCATTTGGTCGTATCACGCATTCGTTAGAGTTGCTCTACGATACACAACTAGCAATTTGCCCGATTAAGTGCTCAGGCATAATGGAGTCCTCCGCCTCTCCGTGATCTGTAAATTAACACTTGACTTGTCTAAGAGGCTAGTAAAACTACGATGATACATCTGCAGGCAACCCCAAAGGATTGTATAGGCAATATGTGGATTTATTCACCTATAAGATGTTATGAATTGAGTCAAATGCACTGCTCTTTTCTCTGAAAATGATCAACGATGAATGCTTGACACATTATCCTTATTCCTTATTTTTTCTTTATAACTAACAGGATTAAAGCATATGGGGTTGATCAGTCCACTGGGGTGAGCCATGGAGCTTAAATTAGCAAGCATCGTTTTCTTGTTCAGCAATCGCGAGGTTTTTAAACAGCATACACTTACTTCCATAGAGAAACACAATACAATACAACACTAACTGACGTTTCGGCAGTATCGCCTTCTTCAGAGCCTGGAAGGGTATGCTGATATACAATCTACTAGGCCAAACGCTTCAATAACACTTACAAAAAGACGAAAGACTCTTTGGTAATTACATGATCAACAGCTTCGCGAAAAACTCACCGCTTTTTACGTGACCTCCAGTGAGGAAGTTTAGAACAGCTGATTATAGTCGCATATGGTTGATGACTGCACCATCCCACATCAGAAATTGATGCGAACATACGGGGTCAGGTCGCGTATGACCTCTGGGCACTCCTTCATTGTAGGGTTTTTGGCATTCTGGCAAAGCCTCACGATTGCTGAACAAGAAAACGACGCATTCATATTCCAATGCCAAGGTTAATAGAAATTCGATCCTGGGAACTATTAGCAAGCATCATTAGAAATGACTGAATGCAAGTATGGTCTATACAGTAATTTGTGGTAGCCAAGTGATGTATAGGGTCAGTAATGCAACCCTCCTAGATAAATTTGGTAGCAATTCACCAATCCCGGAGAGATCGAGGGTTTGGTGAGCCTAGGGCGCGGAGTCGAACCAAAAACCACGTGTTTATTGGGAGGCACTTATAACCACTGCCGTGCACACAGCCCGTAGTTGCTTCATACCATGGTAAGTAGAGTTAGCTAAGATGTAGCATAATTTTAGTAAACAGAAGATTAAAAACTCATCTCATTCAGTTTTGTTAACGATCTCACTCAAGGACAAATCACCATCACCTGGCGTTGCTAGCCAAAACCCAGCAACTGCATAATAGTATTTTATGCCCATAGACCCAGCCATGATCGACTTCCAATGCGAAATTGACCGAATAAACCAAAGTCGCCAGCATATGAGCCGAACGGCCGATAGTTGCAAGAGAAGTTGAGAAAAAGATGATGAAGGAGAAGAAACAAGTTGGACTCGATAGAATTAGCTGAAAGGCAGACGAAACGAAGGACCCGAATAGTGTGGTGGTGAACGCGTTAGCTCCCGGTTTGGGTTGTAGCGTGTTCGTTTCCCACCGCAGGCATCTGCGGTCCGGAGTTTTGCAAATATCTCACCGTCGCTGTGGTTGTACCACGGATAATACCCTGTTGTGACAAAATGTAATAGGCACTAAATAAAAACACCTCGCGTTTGCTCAACAAAAATACGAAGAAAATTACTTGATCAATGCCGAGGTTAATAGAAAGTCGGTCGTGGCAGTTACTAAATAAAAAGTTAACAATAAGGTTGATGTTAAAGCGAAAAAAGCAAATGATTGACTAAATCGTTGTGCACTGACGTTTAAACACAAATAGAAAAGTCCTACTATGTAAAAGAAAAGAAAACATCAAAGCCGGTTTAAGCTCGACTCTAATTGAAATTCCCGAAGAATGAAGAAAAGTTCTGACAGTATCTACTTTAAAATATCATTGAGGGTTTAAATGTAGCACCACGTTTTTTAACACAGCCTAGCAATGCTAGAAAAATTACAGTTGCGTGTTCGTTGAGAGGCTCCATCGAACAACGAGACTGGTTAGTCGTAGTTGTTTGAAGCTACCGTTGGTGGTGGCAGTGGTGGAGGGAGCGATAACGGTGACTCGTGGATAGCCCCTCCCATGAGATTTTCCCATTGTCTACGGGTTATTAGACGTTCACCCAGGTCGAACGTCTCTATCGAAGACGTAATATTTACCGAGAGCTCAGACTACGATCTAATGGCATACTTCTTCATGCATCAGAATGCCGTGCTTCTTTCGTTCTGTCGATCATGTGGAACAGCTATCCCATAATGATACCAATTAATAACGAGAATGTTCAATGTTCTGTTCATCTCCATTTCTTAACGTTTTCTTATTTTTCGTAACAGAACAGTTGAGTTCCATGCATAGCATTTCTCCATTCTTCAACAAAGAATTGTCTCTCTTTATGAATCTAGACAGTTGCCCGTTGTTTA